TTCCCCTCTGCACACAGAGAGGGAGAGGGGGTCTAAATGTGGAGAGAGGGGGAAGATAACAGGTCAGGGCAGAGAACACAGACTGGCAGATAAACACAGGAAGACAGAGGGGCTTGATGGAAAAAAAGGTATTCCATGACTTGAAAATGTCCACAGCGGTTCATCTCCACATAATTCCATTATTGAATAACACATGAATTCAGCACAATTTGCCATCAACACATCCAACTGAGCATGAAGCTGGAGGGCCTGGCCCATCTTCCCCCTGCGCTCAGTGGAGGCCTTTCCCACTGTAAAGGAAGATGCACCGGCCCCCACGAGCTCTCGCCGTTCACAAGCTGCTGCCCACTGAGAAAAACGTGCTTCTTCTCTCTTTGGCGAAGGAAAGAGGGGCTGAGTGGGACCTCATCTAAATGTGTGTTGCGCAGGGAAGAGCCTGGGCAAAGGTGCGCGCACGGACGGAGATGGAGGAGTTTGCTGCTGAGATAAAAATGGAATCCATTTTGGTTCTTTAAGCGCGCTCATCCACGGTGTGAGGACCTGCTCGCTGCGTCGCTCTTTCGATCCCATCTTCCCTCCTCTGCTCTGTTGCAATTGTTCTGCCTTCCCCTCGTTACTCTGTATGATTTCCTCCTCTCCTCCAAAGTCACACCTCTTTCCTTTCCGCTCCCTTCCCTATTCTCCTCCTCCTCCTCTTCTTCCTCTCACTTCTCTGCTCTCCAGGCAGCCAGGCACCCCAACACCGTCTCAGGTCCTGAAACTATGGCAACGGAATGGGAGAGCAAGCGCTCTCTATGATTAATAGATGAGAGATGCGGTGCCAATCGCAGGGGCCCGGGGAGGAGGGACAGATGCACTTGAACAACGCCGCGCAAACACGCACGCGTGCTCACGGGGAGAGCGCACACATTCAAAGAGCCCCCACCTCCACCGCCGCCGGCATTAGCCGCCCTCCCTGCTTTGTGGTACAGTTATATATATGTGTGCAGAAAATGGGGGAGGGAGGGGGGCACAAGGTGGGGCTAAAAGGGGATGAGAATAAGCAGGAGAGTTTATCTCACATCCAACAAGCAAACCGAGCACAGAAATAACCGCGGCCTCGGCGGGCGGATGTGCAGCCTTAATGAGTCTTAACAGACTGTGTGCTCTCTTCGTGACTCGCAGCTGGCCGCTCTCTCTCTGTGAAAGCTTGACAGCAGGACAGCAGCCAGGACATAATACTTTTAATGCCCGTGTGCCGCGATTGACATCATCTGATCTGTGTGGCAAAAGACTCTCGGTTCTTTTCGAGGCCGGCCATTCATCCATCTCTCAGGCAATCGCGCTGCTTTCGGATTATCCCCCGCAAATGCTTTTCCTCTCCAATCCATTTGAGTAATGACGGGCAACTGCAGCTGTGACAAAGGTATTACTGCGTGTTACGGACGCATGTACTGAGTATTTAAAATGTAAATCAAATTCCACGAGGGGAAACCTGATGTTGTGAGGGGATTTCGAATGTTGCTTGTTGCTGCTTTTGGCAAGCGGGTGATCCTCCAACGATCTTCTTCTAGCTGGCTATCACGCTCCGATTCACTTCTAACAACAGAGATGTGCCAAGGACCAACAGCCAAAAAAAACACCAACAGACACTCCTGCCAATTCAACCGCTGACTAACAGCGCCAGGCCCCCCCAAAAATAAGCCATTTGCCTGGTTTATGGCCTCCAGCTTCCTCGCCGTAGACAACACACCCAATCAATTATGGTAATGTGACGAGTATCAGGACTGTTTAACACATGGGCCGTTAATCCAAACGGATGCACCGCGGAGTCATTTACTGGGAGCCGGAAGGGGTTAAGGCTAAGTGCGTGGTGTGGGGGGGGCAGTTAGTAACGACCCAGGGAAACTCAGAAAACATCCATCGGCAACTGATCAGCGAGTGATTACGTTTTCAATGAGCCATGCTGTGAATGAATGGAGCACCCTGGACCAAACTAGGCGGAGAGATGTATTAGATCTCTACAGGACCGTGAATAGAATTTATCACCACCTGTAAACAGTGGCGATATGTTCCAACTTAACTAGAGAGGATGGCGGATAGTCGACAAAATATGCTGCAGGCTCGCATGCATGCACAAAGCAGAAAGGAGCCTAGGCACAGGTCCACCATGTCCTGCGGGCCTCTATGGCATCATTACGGTAGTTTTCTTAGATAAAACAAGAGGCATTTATCAACTAATGAGGTCAGCTTCAGACGGTCGGTAGAGAAAATCATCACCAAGACCGAGAGGGAGAGCGAGAGCGAGAGGGAGAGGGAGCAGCAAAAGGTTAGGTTAAATGGAGAGGGGGGTTGCATAATTTGTTACAGCACGTCGGATTGTCTCCACTGTTTCTTTTTTGAACCTCCTGAATCACAACTGACTCCTACTGGAGCTGGAGAGAGACAACTTCAGCGCAGCTAAAATCCGCAACTGCGTCACGTAACATTTGTGATGGACAGCTGCATTAGAATGCGTCTGTGATTGCAGTGACCCGCCAACAGCTAAATGTGCTAAAACACATACGCACGCTCGTGAATGTCTTTTCAAAATGTTTTTTTTTTTATCGTTCCACGACCAGAGCACCTTTGTCATTTACGCAGTGAGGCTCTGCAATTGGTGCCGCTGCAATTTAGAAAAGATGTGAGGAATCAGGGAAAATGGGTTAAGGGTCCATAAATCACATCCGGATGAGTGCGAGGGGGTGTGATGCTTTCTCGCACTGCAATCGTTGGTATAGAAAAGGAACTTGAAAAACACACCATCCCACACACCAAGGATGCGTATCCATAAAACATGGCTTTTTGTCATAAAATATGCATAAATACGCACTATTGAATGCTGAGTGATGACACTGACTGAATGAAGACCTGTGGTTAACAGCAGCTGACCGCTCTCATTGTTTATAATAGAGAGCCAATTCATTTATCAATTATTCAAACCTACTGTACTCTTGCTGGATCTGTCCTCAGCTGGCAAACTGCCTCTGCCCCCCCGCACCCTCCTCCTCTCTCTCTCTCACACACACACACACACACACGGGGTGACAAATCCACATCAGTCACACACTATGCCAACCCCATCGCTATTGTTAGGGGATCGGCGGATCAAATGCTCCACGGAGCATTGCTCCAAATACAAGCAACAACAGTGGTGGCTCTGATCTATTCTGCCTCTCCAGGAGCAGAGCGGACGGGCTGCTGTGTGACAAAGGTAATCACGCTGTAACGCATGTATCAGCACCGCAACACGGCCACGTATATCGTGAGTTAATAGCAGGATTAGCACTTGGGTTTGGGGCTCTGGAGCCTCTTGTAAAACACCCTGGTAGGATTTGCAGCCGGTGCAAACATCTTGAAAAAAAACGTGCCTGCAGGACATTTGAATGCCTTGAGGCTAATGTTGTAGGATGAGGCAAAATGTTCAAACATTCTACTATTTCACGTTTGAGATCTCAGTGTAATAGCCATTGCCAGCATGCAGCTATGCTGACTGCGAAAAAATATATATGTGAGGTCATAAAAGAAAAGAAATATGCAACACACAGGAGCACCAATATTCCCAGTGATGTGAGTAAAAAGCAGAGATCAGCCTTTCCTCTGAGCGCTTCTCCAACCCTTTTTTATTATTATTTATATTATTAAAGGCTGATACGAGCATCATGCGCTGCCGCTGAAAATCAGCTGCCAAGAGAAGCCATTAAATACTCCTTAGATTCACCCATTTATACCATAACCCTCGCACACTTGATCATCTCTAACCTACGTACAGTTGCCGAATCCCTTTTACCACCAGTGGGGAGGTTCTTTCATGCGATGAGGGGAGAGGGGAGGAAGAGAGGGGAGACCACTGGGAGGGACATGGGTGTTGGCTGTCGGGCTACAGGAGGTGGTTTGTGAGGCCTCTGTCTCCCCTCCCAGCTCGTTAAAGAAATAATGTGCAGCAGCACTTCATTTAATGACAAATCCACTTCTAAGAATGCTGCAGTTTGGCTGCTGTTCGGACCTGGACAAACATCCAATTGATCTTTTAGCACCAGAGTAATAGAGGCCACTCCGCCTCTTGGTAGCTCCAAATCCCTGGAACAACACCCAAGAAAGGGTGTGCGTGTGTGCGTGTGTTGGACAAAAAAAAACCAGCTAAAGTATCATAGTCCAGAACAACTTAGCATCAAATAAATAAAAAAAATGAAAATAATTAATTAACCTCAAATATCTGCGACTATGATTATTTTTGGATTGGAGAGCACAAAACTGAAAAAAAGGTACAAACGTCAATTGCCGCTCTCATTCTAAATGTCCAATGATGAAATTGCAAAATAAATGGCTAATGAAAATCCCGGCATGTCCTGTAATAATATTGGAGCAAGCTTTTTTTCATACGAATCTAAAATCGAAATACGGTAATTCTTCATTTATATTTTTCCGTCCATAACTATTAGTCTCGTGGCTGTTTTATTGAACCGTTACGGTGCGATGTTGAGGTGCGTTGAAGCACCGAGGACCTGGTCGCTCCGAGTCCCGCAAGTTCACAAGAGCGCATTTCTCCTATTGCCCTACATGTTCCTGCTATATACCATATAGCATCATACTGACATGGTTTTTGCTTGGATTTGGACTCGACGAGATCCACAATAGGTCCTCTGGGACTGACACTTCTCTATTTAACGACCGGTAAACAGCATAAGAGGGATTACGCACCAAATTGTGGTCTGTTTACACGAGCAGGGTGTGTGTTTTCTTGTTGCGTTAAAGCACTACAGCACTGGGAAACACTCACTTAATATTGTCCTAACAATGCTATAATGACCACGGGAAAATCACCCTAAGTTAATAAAGTAGCGCTGGGAAAGCCGCGGTGCACTTGTCTCGCGGGCAGCCTGGCCGCCCAGGCGACGAGCCGCCCGGCGGGGCTGCGAGGGACACGGGCGCAGGCTAACCACGCGCACCTAAAGTTTTGAAATAAAGAGAGGAACCCTTACCTGCAGCTCATGAATGGATGCGCCCCGGAGTTGTTTCGCGGCTCGGTCCGTTAGTAATCCATGAGACGGGGCTCTCACGGGCAGTTCAGACGCGTCTCGCTTCGGAATAACAACACGAGCGCTACTTTTTCCTCGTGCGCTCCTTTTTGTTACATGCCGCGCGCGCTCGAATCGCACCTCTTCAAATCGGAATATCCATCGGAAATCCACACTAGAAAGAAGAAGGGGGAAGAAGCGTCTTGTGTTTTTATTAAGTGCCCCTTGGTGGACTGAATAAACCAGTGGTCCCAGAACTAGCTACGGATCTGAATTCGGTCCTTTCCACAAAAGCCGACGCTCATCCTATTTGGAGATGAAGCTTCTTACCACAGACTGGAGCGCAGCGCAGCGATCCCAGCTGTCACCCACCCGCTACACACACACACACACACACACACACACACACACACACACACACACACACACATAGGGAGGAGCTTGGAACGGGAGCTATTGTGTCAATGGGTACCAGTTATGGACAACTGTCTTTTCTATTTTTACGCGGCGGCATTTCACGAGAATGCGCGTTGGAGAAGGACAAATCCCGGCAGTTGAGACGCGGGATTAAAAAAAAAAAAGTATAATGTTGTTAAGGTTAGTTGGAAATTAAAATGAGGTTAACTGGCGCGTGGTAGTCGTGCGTGCTGGTCTGATGGCTCTGTGCCACATGCGGACTGTCAACGGTGATTTTGAAAGAACAATGAACAATAAAGATGCAGTTGTTGGGTTTTTTTTTTCGTGCGCCGGCGTTGGGAATCGGGATGCGATCAGGTTCAAAGCCTCTCTTGTCTGTTCTCTCTCTGCCTGCTGGAAGGTTCTTTTCTTCCCTGGTGGTCTTTCCTGGTCCCAGGCTGTCGCGCGCGTGCACACACAAAGGAACGCGTGCTTTTCAGTATCAAATGGGCCTTTACTTTATTTGGCCCAGATTCCAGATGAAGTCTGAAAACAACTGCAAAGTTCAAAAAAGTTGTTCCTTGAATTTATGGTACATTTAGGCTACAATCTGATGGATGGCCAGCTCTGTGCACACACAGGTAGAGGAACACACACACGCACACACCGCCACACACTCTTGAGACTTAATCAACATCCATTTGCTAGATTGAAAACTGCAAGCCCGAAAAACACAACTACTTTGCTAAAGCGCTCAGACGCACAAACATCAGATTATGGTGCAGACATCTAGATCATTCAAATGTGCTACAGAAGAACAAGGCTGTGTGTGTGTGTGTGAGGCTTTGGGCTTATCATCATATAATAGCAGGCCACCTGTGTGTGTGTGTGTGTGTGTGTGTAACGTGTGTAATTGCGCTGCTGAGTTGTGGCCTGTCAGGCTCTATTGCTGTCTTGTTACTGTAACTGCTCCGTGCAGCGCTGCCTCCACAGGCCCAGTGCCAAACACTATACTGCTCTTCTGTAACGTACACTCATGTGCTCCCGCCTGCCAACCCCTTCTTTTCATCTGATACCGTTTCATTTGCTTTCAAAAAGGCGAAATCCACTCACGGCCGTGCAACTGAACCAGCGCGCCGCGCACGCCGCGGAGAAGACGTAATCTCTCCTGTGCTCTCCGGGCTGATTTGCATTCTGTTTGTGTGGTTTGTTTAAGAAATACCTCATTATAAACAGACCAGATCAAATTAGGCGGAGGCATATGCAAAAAAACAAACACTTCTCGGGCAATTAAGTTCATTCACATATCATACATCTCATTTGACTGTTTAATGTGCAGCAGGCTTCCTTCAAGTTCATTCACATTCTGTGTTGGCGGCGTGCAGGTATACTGTGTGCTGACGACACACGCAGGTGTGGAACTGGATGGGGGGTGGAGGACGGGGGGTAATTTTGATCTGCTGTGACTTCAATGCAAATCCTGCAAACAAAACAGTTCACACAATCTATTACTCTCCAATCTGTATGTCTCCCGGTCTCTCTCTCTCTCTCTCTCTCTCCTTCTCACACACACACACACTTTGAAGTGGGAGACTTGCTGTGGGAGGCGGACCTTGTATAATTCGAGCTCAATAATGTCAGGATACACACACCAGTTAGTTTGAACTCTGGGAAATATGCTCGTGTCAGAGCTTATCGCGCTTATCTTGCTAAAGTCGTCCCGGGCGAATTAGGACTGTGTGTGTGTGTGTGTGTGTGTGTGTGTGTGTGGAGGAGACTAAGCAGTTGAAATGGAGCAGCCATCACATCCAGGATTGGGACAGACGGTAGCGGGTGCGTCTGCAGGGACCCGGCTCATCCACTAGCAGGCGTTTTTAGCTGTTGTTTTTTTTCCCATCACAATAGACTGTCGCTCTCTTCTTCCCTCTAATGGCTTGAACTCGATCTCATCGGTGGTTTCGCGGTGTGATACACACATTCTGCCCATTTTACTCGCCAACAGCACTTCCCACATCTAATTCACATCTTCGCTCTGCCCCGAGGGTGAACTAAACGCTGCGCCGTCCTTCCTTTAGACACTATCGAGGGGCATGGACATTTTGCAGGTCTCTGGCTCGTCCGTCTGCTCCGAAAAGACCAAATAAGTGTGTATTTTTGCAAATAGAAGGTAAATAATAATACTGGCTTCATTAATAACCCTTGTTGGATGTTTTCAGATGTTGTAACCATGTGGGTCAGAGTAAACAACACAATCGTACATTTCTAGAGTGAGTACCTCAGTTGCAGTCCCAAAACAAGCAAACCGTATCATCTGAGCATTACCCAAGTTCACACTGGGGCTAAGAAAGTGAAGCAAGCTTCAGAGTTTGACAGGTTTTAGTCAAGGAATGTAACGTAGATACCAGGTACCATCTGTTCTCCCGTGATTGTAAAAGTAATTTATTTAATGTACATGACACTGTAGGTATTAATCCCCTCTAAATGTAACCTTTTTTGTTGTTGCTTTGTTTAAAAAAATGGTCAATAGTATTTACATCTTCCTATTTAAAGAAAACCATCCATTGGTTCATGGGGATTGAAACTGGGCCGTATCAAAGCACTATGCCTGTGGATTTAATAACGATCCGAGATTCATCCAGCATTGGGTGGAAGGAAACAAAGGCCTTAGAAATGTGTTCGCCAGCCTCCTTGGCTGCTGGAGGAGCAGGTGTTTTGCTTCAACATCACAATGTGATGAAGGTAATAGGATGTTCATCGCCCACTGAGCTGGATCAATGCAGGAGCATCATCTGTGCCGCTGCTGCCGGAGTCCTAATGGCCGTCGCTCACCTGTGGATCAGAAAGGGACAGAGCTCACTTACAGCGGTCACTGCCGTGTAGCAGGCTCATCCCTGGAGCTCCAGCCCTCGGCTCAGTATTTTAATGTGCACTGCAGGCCGTTTACTTTCCCCCAGAGGTTTAAAGTGGGAAAGTGTAAGTACTTTCTGAAAATTGTGGGTAACATACTGCTGATGGCGAAACCTTTTCCATATACGACGAGCATAGACTGTTTATGTCAACTCATTCGTTGATACCAGCTTGTGTTTCGTGGCTCGTGTTGAAAGTGGCGATTATTAAGATCTAGTCGAACAAAGGCACAGATGTGATACTGTGGGGTTTTGGGAAACATTTTTCATTTCCAGTGCACTTCATGAGTCTGCAGCACTCATGCAGTGCACTCATGAAATGATTTTGTCTATTAAGCATTGTTGTTTTCACTAGTTGGTTATTTAAGTCACAGGTACAGACAAAGGCCCAACACATTAAAATGCTCTTAGATTTTAAGTTCATGTGTATTTCTAAAAGGACAAACTGTGTACATGACCAAATAATCAAGAGAGGAGTGTGGGATGATATAAGACAGGTGGACGGTTAACAAAACCATTCTGCTTAGACACAATATGCCACAAAAGACCGCTTTGGAGGAAAATAGAAATCTTTGCAGTGAATCGAATGATATCCAAAAAGCTTACAAATGCAAAAACACCCTTTTCACACAAAAGATATTCCTAAGACATCTTAGAAGTCATTATATATGAGCTGATTTTAACTCCAGGGGGTTAAATGGAGTACATGTCATGAACACCAGAGGTGCATTCACTAGAGTTTAAGAGTCAATGTGCTACAATAAGGTCAAAAGGAATATGATTACAGGGTTTGATTCAGAAGTATTGCAGCCTGGCACTCACTTTTTCATCAGAGGAAACCTGATATGAAAAAGTAGAGCCCAGAAAAGGTTTAAATGAACAATTCTGCAAACTGCGCTGAGCCCGGGAAAAGGAAGCGCAGAGTTCGGTGTTTGGCTCAGCGGTCCGCAGAGGTGTCCCAGCTGTATTTAAGGCCCTTATGCTCGTAAGAGGGAATTCATTTGGCTGTTGCCACTGTATGTTTTTCACTCCGAAGCCCTTGAGTCAGATTGTCGCAGAGGCTCATCAACTGAACTGAACTCCGGAAATTATACAATATGAATCCATCGGTGTATTTAAACAGAAGGGACCATTTGCACAAGGGTCAAAAATGGAAGAGCATCAAAAGCTATGACAACACCAGGTAATGGCAATGAATATATCAGACGCCCGACCACACAGGTAAAACAGTGGACGCTACCCACATCTGTGTGCATACTTCACACTGGTGTTCCCCGTCTTTCCTTGGACTGAAATCGTACCCAAAAAACGTGGGCTACATTAATTTGCTGTTACATTTTCTTTATATTCATCAGTTTTTCTAGCATGCATGTATTTTTTTCAATTATTCAACAGATCCTGCACAACAGAGTGTCAGTCAATATGGGGATCTACATTTTTCAAATATCTGCACAGAAAAAAAAAAAGAAAATCCAAGATTCTGTTGCCCCTCAGCCTCTGTATAATGATCAGTAGTTATCTCAAGCAGGGAGATGTCACTCACACATGCACTCATAGTCATGGATGTGTGCACATTGACACTAATTAACACACACACACAAACACACACATGCATGCATACAGAACTTGCAGCTGTGAGCAGAGCTTGGAATATATCATTAGAACACCCAGTAGAAAGTGACAGTCAGATGCCCTAGTTATGAAATCAACGTTGTAAAGATTCCTCGCCCACACACACATACACATGCATTTGTGCATACATAAAAAACACACAACCGGTTTCAGAGTGTATATATATCATATATATCAGTAGACAGTGGTAATTATTACTTCTATTAACTGTGACCCACCAGCGTCACAGGAAGAGCTTCGATTTTTTTTTATCACCACGTCACTCATAAAGTAAGACTTTTCACACTATTTTTATTTTTTACAATTTTAATGATATCTTTATTGTCGTCATATGTCATAGTTCTCCTGCCAACATCAGTATTAAGCTGCTATATCACATTTTGTTCAATAACACGCTCCTGATTATCTTGGCACTTTTGAATCTA